TATATATATAGCGAAACCTAGTGCATACTCACCTTCACATCCACAGTCGATGGCCCCATCTTACCCATCATATACTTAACAATTTCATCCTTGTCCCTGCCATGGTAGTCGCCAACCAGGTGTCCATTCTTGAACACCTTCATGGTCGGAAAACCGTCTATATCAAAGTCAGCACTCAATTCCTTGTTCACCGTCGCATCAATCTTGGCTAACTTTGCGTCAGGATGTGAGTCCGCTAAAGCATGTGCTGCAGATGCATATTGGGGTGTCAGTGTTTTACAGTGGCCACACCATGGTGCATAGAATTCAGCTAATACGAGCACATGGCTTGCTACAAAGGCATCAAAGGTATCATCACCAAGGATGTAGACTCCATCTTCAATCTTGACGTCAATAGTATGATCAGGGAAAGAATTATCAGCGAGAAGAATAGAGGAAAGTAGTAGGGTTGATACAAAGACTAAGTACTGTAGACTCTTCATGGTTGATGGTGTTCATGCATCTATTATTGTTTCTGGCTAGTCGGTAAGCAAGTGCAGTGCTTTTTAAGACCAATGAAGTACTGTAAATATGCCACAAAGTGTCAAAATGTGGTATTTGTTTTTTCTGTCTTTTGTATTTTGTTTAGTAAAAAAAAATGCAAACAAAAATTAAGCAAAACACAATTTATTTATAAAAAAAATAGTATATTCGCCTTTTTTGGGGATAATTATTTCAATTTGCTCTTCAAATAATACTCTCTACTCTCAAATAGCAAAGTTGAGATTGTTCTGTCAGATACCATTGGTCAGTGAGTTCGTCACAAATAATTTTTCAACTGCGTCACAAATGACGTACTGGGATAGTTCCGAGGAATCAGTAGAATTACAGAAGTATCACACAATGCCATAGAAATTTTAAATATCATTAGCGGCTAAATAACAGATCTCATCACGTCGGATTGCTATATGAACTATAATGTGCAGCACGTCTCTAAATATGTAATTACGTCTAAAATGTGCATATATCTTTGGTTCTCAAATACTTACAGGTATGTAGTGCTATATTTGGAGTGTTATCACTGATATTCATTTCGGTGTGTAACATATATAGCACTACATACCTGCAAGCATATATATACTCGAATCTCTCAAGTATCTTTTGTATTGAGGTTTAGCAGAATAGCATATAGTACTATATGTGAAGAGACTAACGAATTAGATGGTATGTAGAAGAACTGTGACAGACCCTTAAGAACTGAACCGAAGTAAGGAATGCTTAAGTCATTCTCAGAAGTTGAATCAACAAGCAAACGCTCATTCCTATACTACCGATTCTATTGCTATATATTGCGCCACACTAGTACATGAGCGCAAGTAGATAGGATATATCATACTATGACTGTCTTGCAGCATCAAATGGACTAAAGAATACGAGGATCCTAAAATAATTAATTGACATAATCGTTTTCTGCATGAACTCACAGTACAGAGTCCACGCAAAGAATGACCTGTTGAGCAACACCCAAAATTCCCAAGTTAAGTTGCATTGGCTACAAATTTAAGATTACAAAGGTCTTCTCGGAGTTAGCAAGCTCTTATTGTAATTTTTAAAAACAGTATATAATCTTCTGCTAAACTATTCACCGACCCTCAGTGCCAAACTTGAGAAATGTATATGTCCCAACTTCCCTCAACTAAATGATGATTTTGATATCGTAGCTCTAGTGTGCATACTCTCACCTGTGCAAACAACGAGACATTCAAGGGCAACTTAGCCGCCTCAATTGAGGAGGATTTGTTATTGACTAGTTTGTTTACTTTATTTTGAATGACCCTTGACATATGCAGCTAGGGCACTCTTACCAATATTGCTATAAATTAGAAGTTAATCAGATCTAGTAGGTGTGCATATTAAATTACCAATACGTTGTATACATTGGTGGCAAGCGAAAACAGAGCAATCCATTCCACTACATCCAAGCACAGTTCCACACGGAGAAGTCGAGAACAAATCTTAGCGTCTCAATCCGATTCCGTGAGTATGCGCAAATGCATTTGTATGATGTCTACACTCCGCCTCACCAATGCACTCCATCCCAGGACAGTTGTACAAAGAGGCGTCTCATTTTCCTCTTTTCCATTCGAATTCCGAGTCTGAGTCCGAGTCTGAGTCCGAGCCTGAATCTGTTTCTGAATCCGGATCTGCATTAGATGCAACTGACGGTTCTAGACCATCTGGACCAACATTTGGGAGCCTGCCCTCAATGCCAGTGATGGACTGCGATTCCGATTTAACAGATTTCGATTCCGGGACTTCTCCCGCTGTATTCAGCGAGTGCGATACCTCTTGAATTGTAGTCTGCTCGGCTATAGCAATATGAGTAGATATTTCTCCTAGACTCACGTGTTCGGATACTTGCTCCACTACACCCATGGGTGTTCTAATTGTAGTTGTGGCTCTTTCTGCTATGCCTGCGGGGAACTCCGTGTTAAAACTTTGCACAACATTCACCGCTACTTCGCTATCTGGGGGGTATCTCCTTGGAGACATCTGCTTTGCAAATATCATGGATGTCATTCTCTGCTGCTGTGCGCGAGTATTCTGTGGTAGACACAACTTCTAATGTCAGCGTATCGCGCAGGGGTGCACTGCAGTCTACGCCATCAAAGGTCTGTTGTGGCACTTTGCCCACTAAGTTGTGGGGTGTGGGATGTGACACACACTCTGCGCTATACAGTGTCTGTTGTGACACCTCTCCCACCGAAGTTTTGAGAGTTTCTTGTGTACCGTTATATACTAAGCTTTAGGGTGACTCTTGTGGTGCCTCTAATGTATCTGATATGTGCACGTGTTCTCGCGTAAGCACTAGGTCTGCTTCTAGCGCACTATGCGGCTTCGTACTATCTAAGACTATTGATGTTCTTTGTTGTTCATCACTCTCTACACTAATTAATGTCTGTTGCACCACAACACTCGCTGAGTGGGGCAGTGTCTGACTTGTCGCACTGGCTGTCGTACTGATTGTCGTATGACGCTGTGATGGTGCGTCGATTGTTTCCGGAGCGTTCTGCTCAGAGCCGTGTTGGCTCCCCACAGAGATCGCGTGAGTCCTTGGCTAAGCTGGTCATCACTGCATCTGCGAATGGTCCGATGTGCAAGGTATTGTTATCAATAGAGATAGCCACCTTCAGGCAAATCAAATAATGGCGAAGCAACGCTCAAAGGGAAAACCGTCAGTGACCAACCAGTGAATACGTATGCTGCCGAACGAATCAGCGAGGCAACTGGGGGAGATATGTTACATGGTCAGCGAAATCGCGCTGTGTTACAATCAAAGCAGGAATGTCCATCACATGCAGCTATCACTTCGAGACTTGCTTTCAATTCCTTGCACACTTGAAAAGTATCCCATTGGGCTGGGCGCGAACACATTAAATCACCTAACAGTACTAACAGTCTGCAAGAATACATCAACTAGACATAAGGAACCGCACGTACTCACGTGGACTCTAATTCGAACTTAACCTAACACACCCGTAGTTCGTGGCAGTGTGCCCTTTCTCGCATGCGCTGCGGTGACCATGTTCTGTATCAGCTCCTGCTGCTCTACAGCTGCTCGCTCGAGAGCGGCGTAGGACTTTGCACCTTCACGAAGCACGACGAAATGACTATTGTCCTGTAATATGTAATACACACATAAATAAGTCAGTTTGATACGTTGAACGTTGCTGCACCACGTCGTAGCATAATTAATAGAATGCCACCTTGTAGAGGTGATATGCAGGTAACGTTCGTTCGACTGTGGCTTGAAAGCTTTGCATGGCTTTGCACCGTGACTGGGCACGACGAAACGGCTACTATATTGCATGGAAGAATAATTGGATAGAAGTCGTATGGCAGGTAATATCTATTTTAGTCCGTGGACGGCTTTACACCCAGGGAAAGTAAGTCGAGTCCATGAACCCCATAGGTACTTTGTTTTCATTTGCAACACATACACAGAGCTCTAACAATTATGCGGCTACATGAAATGGAAGCCGTATCGTCGTTTGTTTTCAAAATGCGAAAATGTACAATATACATCACTTCTAAATTTACTACAAGCAACAGCACTCGTTGGAATACATACTAGATAATTATACAATGCACAACACTTTCCGACATAAAAGCATCAGCCAAGAAACGTGCTCGAGCGAATGCCAGCGCCGTGCGCACATTTCATCCGTCTGGAATGCGCTTGAGACTCAAAGGGTGTCATAGATAGGACGAGCATACACATTTCACCACAAACACACAAGTACTCCTGATGGTATGATGGATGGTGTACCTTCTAACTGCATTCACAAACTTCAGATACTGCTCAGAATACAGAATAATCAGCAATCCACATACAACTTGTCCTTGGCCTACTTACCTGTCATACAAACAACAACGTATACATAACCTATGTCCCACCCTTACCAACCTGGCATACGACCAACAACCCAAACAAACAACTTAAAACTAATGCCCCCAGTCTACCTACCTGCCATATAAACAACAACGTACACATAACTTATGTCTCACCCCTACTAATCTGGCATACAACCAATAACCCAAACAAACCAATGCACCAAGCCTACCTACCTGCCATAAAAACAACAACGTACACATAACTTATGTCCCAGCCCTACCAATCTGGCATACAATTAACAACCCAATGCACCAAGCCTACCTACCTGCCATATAAACAACAACGTACACATAACTTATGTCTCACCCCTACTAATCTGGCATACAACCTATAACCCAAACAAAACAATGCACCAAGCCCACTTACCTGCCATAAAAACAACAACGTACACATAACTTATGTCCCAGCCCTACCAACCTGGCATACAACCAACAACCCAAACAAACAGCTTAAACTATTGCCCCCAGCCTACCTACCTGTCGTGCACATCCTCTGCTTTGCACTAGAGACACGGCATTACTTATACTGTCGAAGCGTATGACACAGTTGGCTGCGGGGATGTCCAACCCCTCGTCGGCAACCGACGTAGCTATGATCACAGGGAGCTCTCCAGAGGAGAAGGCCGCGATAGTGCTAGGTGAGTGGCAGGGATTGATGTTGAAGGCCCTCAGAAACAACAGCCAACATACTTTTGTATGTATACTGAGTGTTAATGTGATCTGCTCACGAGACATACGTTCACAACAAACGCAAAATGAGACCATGTTTAACGCTGTTGCAGAACAAGCTGGGCTTCGGCGTGATGAAGTCAAGCAGTTGATTCCAAACAGAGAAAACTATTGTATGTAGGGAGTTATCAGTTAACTGTGCACGTCCCACTATACCAACGAACACTCTTTCACATTTCATTGGCACACACACACACGCGCGCGCGCATTTTAGTCTGAATTGCACGCATGCAAACGATGTGCAAATACAAATACACGGAAGCCATAACGTATAGGATAAGCCTAAGCACACGGCAACACCGTACGTAAGCTATTCATGCTGGGCCGTAGCAGAACACACGCTAGTGCAACCTCTGAACAGAACACGCTGCAATCATTCAGTGCGGGACAAGACTCGGTCGGATAATAACTATCTATAGACGGAAGTCTAAATCCCTTTTTTTATGGAATTAACATATAATTCATATGAAACATATCCATCACGAATCCAGTCTGAAACCGTATCAGTTGTGGTGCGATGCAACACCTCGGATATCCCCCGAAGTCACATCCGATAGATGATCTAGAAGCCCACACGCACTTACGGTTTCTATTTCTATGTAGCACGAACTCTTGGATTGTGGCGGGAAGTCTATATTGTTGAAGGTATATTTTTATACAACTGAGATGCATACTGCGTGAAGGTATATTTCTGTACAACTGAGAGATACGTATTGTGTGCTAGGGACTCCCAACGACAACAGAGACTAGACACACGACCCTTATTCATTCACTGATTAGTGATGTAACGAACACACGAAAAGCTGTATAGCTGTATGTGGACCAATTACATTCTCGCGCCCAACACGTATTGGAGCGCAGCACAACAGATGCGAGTGCCTCGATGAGCCAACAAACACATTTGTATCTTAAGACAGGGCTTGTTGAATACGACAGGCCTCGGAAAGCAACGAATAATAACTCCCCAAAGGATACCTTTGCTCAAAAAAAAAGTGAAGTTTAATTTAGGCAAACGTACAGCCCTAAAACATAAGCCGGAAGATTTGGAAAGTTTTTAACCGCCACTCGCCTTAAAATCATTATCTTCTGAGACTTGTTGTATTCAGTAAGCTTTATATAGGAGGCACCTGCGTATGCACGCCCTATGTCTACTTATTCATGTCTGGTCGAGGCGTCACTCTATTAGGCGTGTCACCTAGCAGTACACCAGAAGCATGCCCAAGAGTATATCACGGCGTACGAGATGGTCACGTACCAAGAACATATCATCCGAGCATTCGTGCACCTGCAACATTCTCTATCTCCCCCCATCCATCCCTCGTATGCATACCTACCTACTCACCAAGCAGTACACCATAAGCATGCCCAAGAGTATATCACGGCGTACGAGATGGTCACGTACCAAGAACATATCATCCGAGCATACGTGCACCTGTGACATTCTCTATCTCCACCTACACATCCCTCGCATACATACCTACCTACTCACCTCTGCTACTAATTGTGGCCCAAGCAATAGAACTTCAACATTCCCACGAGTGTTCCAAATCATATGCGAGTGCATTTAAAAAAAAACCCCCGTTTATGTGTACAACATGGACCACTAAAGCTATATGCACCCCACCCCCCCACCCCCCGTATACTTACCTACCTACTCACCTCTGCGCCTCGGTCTGCTTCGGGCTATTCCCCACAAAGTACTGGTTCGACTGTCCCATAAGTGAACCGCAGCGGATGGGCCTAGCTCGCGTCATCAAGTAGTGCTGGATGGTGTTGGTCGCCTGTCGCTGCTCGACAAACACAATGCATCGGAAAGCAGACTCGGTGTTCCCGCGTAGCTCCTGCAATTGAGGATAGTACAGCCTAATTAGATGCACATACATGTGTATATATACATACATATGTACATATGCATACATGTGTATATATACATACATGTGTATATATACATACATATGTATGTTCGTAGCGTGAATAATACAGAGAAAGCGCTGGCATAGGTTCGGCGCCAGTCGCTATTGGCAGACGCAATGCACCCAGGGGTACATCCGGCGTGCTCATGTACCACCTGCATTGAGAGATAGATACATGCTAAATGGTGCTTATCGCCCGTCTCTAATCAACGGTCCCAATGCACATACGATGATTTGATATGTACACTATATATAGACACTAGCCGAAACTGGATCAGGCCTGCATTTTAGAAGCATATGGTCGCGTGTACAAGTAAAGGAGCACGTCGGAGTCCGCGCACAAACGTGAGCTCCAGCCGAGCGCATGCCACAGTAGGTGCGAACCACACAGCCATAACTGGGGCGATGTAAATAAACATAACGCCGTCAGCTCAATATACATCAAGTAACTCCACTCCTAGGTACGCAGGGAAAGGGATGCAGATGGTTGACCAACCTACAGCTTAGTGGCGGATTATAGGACGCGCTGGGCATGTAAACTGTGTGCGAGTTTCTGTACAAAGCGAAAGCTAGGATGACCTGAGCTTGTGACGCACTTCTGGGTAGATAGATGGCACTCGGATAGATGCTTCCGCACACGATGCAGAGTAACCCGAATGCTTATCGCGTCGTCAAATATATATATATATATATATATTTGTATGTACGCAAACGAATAGATTCAAGTCTGAAAACAATGGACATGTATCTGTGGGTGTACACGAAGACAGTTACCGAAGGGTAATCTATCAAACGAACAACTTTTCTAGCTGTAAAAAGAATCCCACATTTCAGCAGTGAGTTAGCCACAAAATCAAGAGCGCATACGACGGGGTGCTACGAACGGGCCAACACCCATTGTCCCGTACCCTCAAGGTGTTGATAACACATGACCACAAAGACCCACCTGATACTTCAGCAGAGACTTGTGCAGATGGTCTAATTCGCCGAACTGGGCGCTATACTCCTCATACAGTGCCCGCAGCGGCACAGTATCTTTCATCGGCTCCGATATGCGCATGCCGAGGCCGTTCAGCAGGGGAGTGTCCAACAAAGTGGGCACAGGGCCAAGGGCGACCAGAGAATGCATAGCCATATCCAGACCCGAGCGATAGTCGGATACCACAATAACACGCAGAGCCTCGTACAGATGCTCTATCAACACCAGGCTCAGACACAGCTCGCGTGTATCGGATGTCTGCCCAGGACGCCATCGAAACAATCGTACAATTAGCAAATAGGGCGAACTGATTTTAGGCAGGATTTAACAAGGACTTTGTGACTAGATGATTTTCGATTTGTCGATGGAATGAGTGCTGTAGGTGAACAAAGGTGCATCACCACAGAGCTCAGATAAGATAGGTCTGTATCTGCTGACCACCCTCGACAATATCGAGCCAGCCATAACACTAATATAGACTGAGTTTGGATGGATGTGGAGATATGCATGTGTGACGAACGTGACTTTGCACTATGTTCATAGATACCGATGGCGTGTTCGCTGTCTACTGTGAAGGGTAGCGAATGCTTTGTGCAGGATATGGTGTGACGCTGGTGCGAAATATCAAAGGGGTGCAAAGTATGTGTTATGTGTCAGTGCGTCCATCCATGCAGCGTATACTATCACAGCGCCAAGAAATATACTATACGAATGTAACCATTGCGCCTCGAGTTCACATAGGCGGGGTGTGGTGCCACAGTAAACGTGTCTGGCAGCAGGGTCCGGGTATGGGCGAGTACGTGCTAGCCTATGTAAGGATGCATGCCCCCTCCGCCTACAATGGAGTCCAACAACAGCACGCAGAGAGGTGGGCCGGGATTTACGGACAATTCACCATGAAGTAGAAAAAAGGCAACGCAAAAAAAACACGTGCGCAGCTAAACGTACTGCTGTTCAACTCTACGTCGAACTCTACGCCCACAACATACACAGTCACACAAAACGGTCACACACACGCACACACATACCAGACCCTCCTCTACGCGTCGCTTGTGCTGCAGTACGTGCCTTCCCCACTCGTTGACACTCAATGGTTTCCCTGTGTGTATGGGCATTGGGCTCGTATACGACACCCCTTCGGCCGAGCATAGTACTCGTGCTTCGAGTGAGTAGATGGTGCGCATCAACTTGTGCGCAATGGGCGACAGCTTCTCAGAGTCTGTTCGCACAAGGTCCAGGAAATACTCCAACGGTCTATGCTTGGGCAGCTTCACCTGTAGTTGCCAGGCTTGGTATGTGAGCTAGTGTCGATGGCTTCTGGGTCTATCGATCTACGGGCTTCAAAGTATGGGTGCGTATTCGAGTGTATAGTGACTATGTGAGTGCGTGTACAAAAACGTGCGAGTGTGGGCGTTTTGTGTGGGTTGGAGTTGTGTGGACAGATTCAGATTAGTAAGTTCGTTGTCGGCACCGACATGTACGCGTGTGCGTCTAAAGACCCTCTACTATGTGATATTGTCGAAGATATAGCTTGCGCATGTACGGTGACAACTGTTGAGCTACACGGTTTAATGCACTTTCACTACGGCGAAGATGCTCCATAGCTATATGCGAGGTACCACTGACGTACAGGCGGTAATATGTCATGTTTTGGGTCAGAGCGAGGAACATATGATATACTCAGGCAGAGATTGCCATATCATACTATTGTCTTTAATGACCCACATACAGCGAGCATTCTATGAGACAAATAAGACGATATGACATCGCAGAGATTTCGAACACTGCCTACGAAACTGCCTACGAAACTGCCGGCTCAGATAGCTCACTCCGCACTGAATGGTACAGACATCTGATGGCCATAGCACAGTATCTGACCGCGCGTAGTGGAGTTCAGAGCTGGATGTTGTGGTGCAGTTTCTGCATCGCGCCACGACACGTCTGTGTAGTGCGGCATTGCCACTCTGTGCACTGGAAAGGCGAACAACAGAGTAGTGGCATAGCGTCGTTTCCGCAACTCATCACGCTGTGGGCAAGTCGACATTGCACTGCGAACTCAATCACCGAACATCGAAAGCTGAGCCGTACCTAAATACCACCACTTGATTTTCCAGCATTTTTCAGTAGTGCAGCAAGCACACACCCCTCACTCTGTAATGCACGCACCTGGGTGATATGGTGTAGCTTCTGGACCTCAGCGCGCTGTGACATGTCTTCGTAGTACTGCACACTGGCGGTAGTTCCAAGCGCCTTGCCCTCGCCGGCTAGGGCAATCGAGGTTTGAAGAAATGTCGAAGTAAAGCTATGCTGAAGGGTATTGTTGATTCTCTGAAAATTACTACGCGAGTTCATATAGAGGTTGACCTGGTTATACATATTGACTAAAACTCTGCTCGGGAATTCTCGATACGGAAAAGTGACATCTAATAACATAAAGCAAGTTGTAATACACATCTGTAACGTCGAGACACACCGATCGGATCTCGAGCAAGACTACTACTGCCTATAGACAGGGATGCTATATATTAGGAAACGCGCATAGTATGACAGAAGACGATATCATCACGAGTGCGAAGTTGTGAAACAGACCTATCAGCGACGTATAGTATTGCGATTGCAAAGCAGAGCACAGATACTCTATACACAGCGGTGCTCACGCGTGTGCAGAATCTGATTACTTGCATGCTCTATCATCCTCGCATCTGACAGACCAGTAGTGGCTGCCGAGCGAGCGAGTAGTGTATGGGCGTACAGACAGATACATAACAGCCAGATGGTTCTCTGAAATAAGAAAGCAGCGATGGCTATCTGCTTGCACGACAAACGTCCTGGTAGTCTGCGATGGAAGCCGTATTCGTAGAGCAGTATAGACGTGGTCAGCTATTTTCCCTGGTGTCTCCCCCTACCACCTACTGCATATGCGTCACCAGAATACTGTAACAGCCACGCGCACTCTGTGTACCATACACGCACAGACGTTACATACTGCATCACGTACGATTGGGTTCGTATCTGAACTCATAGGCGGACCTGACATCGACTCAGCGTTGCATGGCGATTTCGAATTCGAGGTTGGGAGTCGACTGAAATCAGTGGATGTTTGTGTGCTTTGTTGGTATCCCCATCTCTGCATAGCTTCCGTCGAGACTGTATATAGCGTGTCCTTATCCACCTATTATTCGTGGATAAAATAGAGAAGGTAAAGTATCTATTTAAAATATATGTCACAGACGCTATGGCTTGTTCGCCTGACACTCGCATAATCTATTTCCAATAATGTAGAAGAGTGAAGGCGCAAATGCAATTGGCCCATTCGATTGCTAAATAAAAGAAATTGGTACTCACTCTTCTATCAAGTGTTCACATATGCATAAAACATACTCACTGTAGACATGAGTCTCGTATAAAAGTCACTCAGTCACACTGTAAATGTACCAAAATATGACCCCCTTACCTCCAGCAGCATGCATAACCTGGCAACATCCGTATACGTCTTCTATGCACCTATCCGGTAAGATAGCAAAGCGGTCAAACCAAAGATCTGTGGACGTTTTCCATTAGCTGCGCAGGCGTTGATAGCGTACGCAATGTCCGCACAGGGGTGTTGCTTAGACACGTGGTGAACCTCGTCGAAAACCACGAGACCGAAACGCGTAAACGACAATCGGTCTGGCTTTAATCTCGTATCGCGAATCGAACAAAAAGATGGTCGGCGTAAGTAAAGGCGTTATGAAATTTTACTTCGGGATTGTATACACCCGACAATACTTGAGAACGCAATTATCAGTGTTATCCGGCAACCTGATTTAATAGGGCAGGCGAAGCTTGTGCACCACAAACTCTGCATTTTTCGCTCCACCCAACCCTTGAAGCTACTTGATGGAGATAACTAGATAACTTGGTTGACATACTCATGTACTACTCAACTATCTAGAGATCGCATTGGACACCAGCGAAACGTCTATAGAACACACCGATCCGATATTGGGAAAGCCCATCAGTATGAAGAGAAAGTGTGCATGCTGCAGCAATCCGCGACACACCCACAATGAGTGTGCACATCACAGAGATCGTGTATCATGTATATACTCCTACCTCGCATACCCCTCAAGAAGACACTTACACGCACTACGACAACTATGGCCAGCAGAGACGAGGTGTTTGTTGCCAGCCAATAGAATTCGAGAAAGCATCTATGGAGAGCGTGGGAATGATTGTAAATTTTTCACTTTTTGACAGTGTTAAACATATACTAGGGCTAGTCGAACTTCTAGAAGGAAGAGAGCAGAGTTGTTGAACGACACGAACAGAGAATTTTTTTAAATACTCATATCTCATACGCAATATCGTTGGCGAACTACTTGTGCATGTGTCCACAATATATATATATATATATATATATATATATATATATACACACACACACACACACACACACACAACAACTA